CTTCCTTGTTAAAATGATACAGTCAGTCAGTTGCAACGTAGAACTTCGTACGTATGTACATAAGTTCAGGTTGCCACGACACATTAACACAGAGATGCAAATGTCAAATCAAATCCCATAGTGATAAAGATAATTGAGGTATTAATGGTAATGAAGAAGACTAGGGTTTGAAGATATTATTCAAGAAGTATAATTCAATGAGATAAGGTTAGAAAGACAAAGGTCGAGGTGCTGACGAATCCAGAAGATTAGGATTTGAGAGAGCTCAACGAATGGATGCACTTGCGCCATTGCAAACGATTTTCAGCCATGTCGTTCAAGGTCTCTAACCATTGGTGACTTTCCTCTCCCGGACCCCAATAAGATAGCCTACATCTACCAACATGACTCAGTCCACTTGTCAGTGACTTCATGGATTTGTGCCATGTTTTGGTCTGGCCACCCTAGCTTTCTTCCAACCTAATCCTACATCACAAAACATAGCTCGTCAAGGCATTCGGTGGTTAGGCACACGTAACACATATCCCAACCACCTCAACTGATGAAGTTTCACCACTTCATCTATTGATTTGCCACCCTTACCTAGTACTCGCTTCCTAATGGCAGCATTGCTTACTCGGTTGTCCCACGATACGTGAGCAATGCTTCGGAGACATCTATGATCGAATACTAGTAACCTACGAATATCTTCTACTCTGACTGGCCATGTTTCGCATCCATATAAGAGAACGGAGCGAACTGCTGCGCAGTACACCCGTCCTTTGATTAGCGAACGGATATCTCGCCTACACCATGTTAAATTGATACTTACAAATCTAATGCAATGAAACTCAATTTTTTTTACTTCGAATACTTTTTGTTTAATTTCATGGACTGATCATTTTGAAGTTTTACGAATGAATCAATTTTAATTGGCATTGATATGCAATAAGGCAATGGTTTTTAAATCAATATAATCATTTTCTAAATAGGAATCCTAACAGTAATAAATTAATAATAATAATAATAATAATAATCAGTCAAATAATTAATTGATTCGATAATCAAAACTTAATTTATTTACTCCTTAGCATTAAAAATAAACACATCAGAAATAGGTGTGTAGAGTTTGGTCTAGTTATAGAAGTAGAATATGAAAGCCCTAGCCAAAGAGTTTTTAAAGATTATTTCTAAATTGATCACTTCCCATATATTTAGACACTGATGAGTGCAGAACAAAATCGATCATGTTCGTCTAAAGCGATTAAGCATCATTTTGTTTTTGAAATGCAGTTGTATTAAATGGATGTATTGATCATTGCATTCGTATGTAGCGATTATACTTCTGTTTCGTTTCTTGTATTTTGCTCTGTTTGACGATTTCACGTAGAACCTTTAGACTTTTTGTAGTTAAAATTTGAAAGTTTAACTAAAACGACAAAAGAATGCATGAAATAAGACAGGGATTTCAAAAGATTAGAACATCAGAAGTTTATACTGACTTGAACTACACGTTGATTATGTCAGTGAGAGGTGATTGTTTACCAGTAGTGAAACGATATTCTTTTTGCTACTAATATTGCCCTACTGTTGTCTACATTTTTATTTCCTTTATTGAATATTGTGTTTTTTTCATATATTAAGCACTTTTCAGTATGAAATACCTTGATTTTTTGAGAAGAATTTGAAAAATTATTTGACCAGAAAGACAACTATTTAATACCTGAATAAGCATAGAAAAGAAAATTAGTAATGACAGAAGCTATTAGGATCATCTTTAAATGTTGTCATATTATTTTGTATAATGCATAGCTTGAAAACCATTAAATACCTGAAAGTACATGATCACTGTTTTGTTCTAGTGTAAGTTTCTTCACAAGTATGCACTCAAGTTCCTAATTGGGAGTAAACTCAGCATCCTTTTGTTTCATAATGGACTGGTTATTTTTAGCAGTTTAAGTTGGTGCATATTTGATTTGACATAATGTGTGACTATCTTGAGTTAGATATTAATTAGTCAAGACACAGATTTGAACTGTTGTGGAGTTAACATCAAACAGGTTGTCTAAATAATATCAGACATCAATTTAAGCCATTTTCAAAATAAGTAGTTTATACAAATATTTCATCTTTAGGACTAAATTGAACAGACTATTTGTGTTTTGTTCTCTAATTTGAAAAGGTTTATTGTAACAAATTTACTAGCTTGTCTGTATTGTTCAAAATAAGTGGATTGTGAACAGGGATTAAATCCATGATGCTTAGTTCTCTTTCTATTCAGAACTGACCAGCAGTTTGTAACAGCATTTCAGTGTTGCTGCTAACACTGATAAAAGTAAACGAAATATATGTGTTTAAATTATCAACGATGATGTCATAGGCAATTTCCAAAGTGAAAATTCATGTTTTTTTTGGCAGCAATGATACTTGACAATCTCCACAACCTCCATACTGATAATTAGTGTCTGCTTCGTGTGGGGGTTCCTTGGATTCTGTAAAGAAGCTCTGATCAGTGGAGTGCAATCGTGTGTGGTGTGAGGCAGTTACTACTCACCGAAGACAGTGGGTGAAGTCACACAATATCATGGATTGAATGAAGTTTGACATTAACAACGTTAAAAGCTGGCTTAGTGGTCAAGGGGCTAAGCGTTCACATACCAGGCCAAATGTCCTGGGCCTGATCCTCACTTACAGAGTAGTGGATGTGTACCAATGATGAGTCGTAAACTAGGACAAAAGGTCATCCTGTGCTTCCACCACAATGATCAAGATGGTGGTGCGAAGATGATGTCACATTGACGTTGTTGTTTCGAGCAGTTGACAATTAGATTATGGTATCTAATGGAAACCTGGACTTGGCTCGTCTTAGACTCGTAAGCTATACATATCCAGGTGATGATGTTCGTACAGCAACTGGAACCTATTACTATTCGGCTCCAAACAGCAATCCAATGTTCACTGAGCTACAGTATTCATATAGTCATAACCTAATTCAAAAATCTATTTATCAATCGATAAAAATCAAGCAATCAATATAATATCTTTTCATTAATCAATGAATTAATTTAATTTAGTTTAGTTTCGAAACAAGCGCCACTAAAATTTGTTGCTTTCAAGCTATTGGGTGGTCATTGAATTATCCGACAATGACGTGAAGCTACAGTGAAATATTGTTTCTCATGTCTTCATGATTTATATTTGAATATTGTAGTATTGATGCCAAGTTATAAAATGCAATCAGTTATTTTTATCGGTCCAATATTAATGAATTGTTGATGAAGTTACATTTTTATTGGAATTTTTGTAGAGAAAGCTTATTTGTATTTTTTTCATTTAAAACTTCAACCGATTGAAGAAAACATGAAATTTATATTAATAGCATTTATTTGCTACAAAAAACATTCAATGTCCTATAGAGAACAAATGAATTTTATTATCCTAAATGTAAGAATAAATGAGAAAAACATTTATAGTAGTCTTAAAATTACAAAAGTATGTGTGTAGTGAAGGAGAACACAGGTGAGGGAAACCGTATATTATTTATCTCGAATTACAGAGTTAATTGGTAAAATAGAAAAACCATATCGTAAATCGTTAATTTGCAAAATATCAATCCATCTTATCGAACAGGACTATTCCTGTTGCAAAACATCAATCCATTGTCTGACATTTCACTGTTCATGCGTTTCATACAAATCCCATTGTGTTCCCGCTCTTCCTTTCTTGATCTTTGTCCATCTTCTGCTGCCAGACATTACGTTTTTACTCGCGTCATATACTACTTATAAGTAGCGCGCACCAAATGTGTGTGCTAAGATTGTTAACTCCTTGAATTAACTTATCATTCATTCATTTAAGCTTGTTAGTCGTACAGTTTGTTGTCCGTTAGGATAAGGTATTTCGCTTACATCACTTTACCTTCCTACAAATGAAACATTGTAGTGAATTGTAATAATAATGGTTTTCAGGTAGATTAATTCACGGAGTACGGAAATAACTGCATAGATATTTGTATCACGTGAATGTTGTCTGAGTGGTTGAGACATCCAACTTTCGGCTGGTAAGTCACCGATTTGAAACACACTCTACCTACTTCATTTGAGGCAACAAAGTAGTACCAGTAGCTCTAAAACTTAGAATGTGATGTGAAACAAAGTTTATAAACCTGTACTTGATAAATGAGTTTGTAAATAGTTATCAGTCGTAACAATGTACTTTGATAGTACTATAATCAGATTTATCGTAAAACTATTACCTCCGACATTCTACTGCTTATATTTGAAACACAGAACAATGTAATTTCCATGATACAAAGTAAGAAGATAGAAAACTAATGCAAATGAAATTTAAGGGATTCTACAAAACACTTCAATGGCTTCATGGAGGTTTGTGCATTCATTGTTAACTTGAGTGTACTACGGTATTACTGTGTCTATTTTCCTTTCTATTATTTTATCAAGTTAAAAAAAAATAACCTGTCTAACTAAACGGTCATATACTATTTTAATTTAAAGCTTAGATTATTTACAATTCAAAGTTATATTTATGACTACCAATTTTTATATAGATTCGATTATATTTCCACATAAAACCGGCAACTAATTTCTTTCATTTAATTTTCGCAATTATTCCAACTGTCCAAATATAATGACCTTTTCAATTTTGAAAGTTTGAAATCTTTTTTTTTGTTGTTGATTTTACAATGTACTTGTTGTTTGTTGCACTATCTGATTGTATTCCACAGTTAATCTCATCATAACGTAGTAGCATGATAAGACTTTCATCGAATTTTTGTAAATAGACCCTTCACTTTCTGTACATGTACTAATCATAAAAATCACGTGATACATTTTGTCATTAAACAGGTCAACATTTCCAGTAAAAAGTGGAAATTATTTATAATAATAATAAACATATTTTGTTTATGTCTATCTAGTGAATTTCATTTTTCCATCTCTATCCATATATATATATATATATATATATATATATATATATGAAGTGAATTGTAAAATGTAGAATTTTTTTTGTAAGATTGTACAATGTAATGTACCGTAATTCAACCTAATATTATTATTATTATTATTCAACAATGATTGGTTCATAAAATTAGTTTTATATAGATGGAATAATTAACTTTTCATCACCTGAAAATTTCATTTTCAATTAAATCATATTTGTGAACAGTGAATGTACCATTGGCATAGTACAATTTTGAAATTCGGTTAATTGGCACAGAGGTTTTAATGGTATCATATAAATACACATATATATATATATAAATAGATATATATGCTATTTGGTTTTAAACAAATGAATTCATTGTGTCTATTGTAGATTTAATAAATTTTCACAGAATTCATTTGTACATTGAACATAGTCAATATAACATTAGATTGTTTCAAATTAATACCAGAAAAAAAAATAATCCAACCATCATTGACTTATTGAAAAAAAATATGTTAATGTATTTATATGCTTTAATGTAGACAGTATTCTTTCAATCTCATGCAATTTATTGGATTAAAAATATTATTTCATTTATTTTGGAGTTTATTTCGATTGAGAAAAATTATTTTTCTGTTTGTCAATTTAATTTTATTCAATCAAGACGAGATTTTAGGATCAGGATATAATGTCTCATTGAAATATTATCATCCATACTCGAGATGGGTAAGTTTTTGAATATTACAGTGATTAGTGGTATATATATATATATATATATATATTTATGTAGGTGTTGTTTTTTTTCTTCCGTAAAACCAACAGTAGTTTGTATTTTGTGCATAAATAGGTGTTAAATTTTAATTTGAGCGGTTGAGAAAACTAAAACAAAACAAATGTCCAATATCCAATCTGTTTCTTTATTTTTCCACAACTTGATGAAAACTAATTTTGAATATTTTAGTGAATGCAGCCTATATTCTTCTTGATTTTATTCAGTGAGGATTCTTATGAGAAATTTTCTTTTTGTTTATTCTCACGTTCATGTGACTAATTTAAAAAAAAATTCGTTCAACTTGATTTTTTTTTGTTATTAAAAAATGAAAATGTTCCATTCTAGTACAAGGAACAGGGAATAAATAAAATTTTCAAATGTATTGTTTAAGAACTTTCTGAGTCTCTAAAACAATTAGTCCATTTTATAAATTTTGATAGAACAGTGAGAAGACACAATTGATCTGAAAAATGCGATGAATTTACCCTGGTAATCTTTTAGCCGTTGTATGGCCTAGGGTAATGTGACAGTTTCCTACCTTTTCTTATTCTTTTCTATATTACGTTAATTTTCTCTTTCCTTCACATTTACAATTATCAGCTTATGTCTATTTGAACTTATATTTAATTGACCTTTTATTTAATCTTCATATAAAATGTCTTGTGTGACCAGATTGATCGAAATGTACATAGCACAAATACATCACAAATTTACAGATCAATTACGTCTTCTTACTGTTCTATCAAAACTTTCTAAATCAAAAGAAAAATGATGAATTCTGTATGTGATGAAAATTTTTGTTTATTTCGATTTTTTTTTCAAATCCAACTCAGTTTAAAATTAGTTTTCATTCCGAAGTGACACCAACTGATAACATTTCGAATAGCAAATAGTACTGAACAGTTATATTGTTTGAACTTCGGAATTCCCAGACACTTCAGTGACATTCATTTCGATTTGTCACAGTTTTATTTGATTACAAATAGTATTTTTCGTGTAAGATGAATTTAGTGTCTATAATTATTGTATTTTCTCCAGTAAATAATCGTATTTACAAAACAATGAGCAACTGTAAAGTGTTTTGTAGGTAAGAAATCATGAAACCATCAAGTTTCTTATAATCGTATTCTCAAAAACTTAAAAAATACTAATGAGAGTTTTAAAAATTGATTATATATATATGTATGTGTAAACAGTATGGGAATTTTTTTTAACAAAGTACATTGAAAAAAATGTAGAACTCTCTCGGTTAATAAGGTTAAATAGTTCCGTGATTAATATATAACATTAATTTATTGCTGTCAATACTACTGATAATATACATATTTATATATATTAGGAATTACTATTGTTTTATCCCTTAACGTGGGACATAGGGAATGTGTTCTACAAAACGTTGATATATATATATATATATATATATGTACAGATTACATGTATCTGGTTGCCTGTTTGTTTTTGCTAGCATTACTAAACAGTCTATCATAATGACATAAGGTTATTATTATTAGCTAACTGAATATCATTTTGTCTTTAAGTTTTAATAGTTAAACAAACTGCATTTCGGTTTATTATATTTTAAAATGGGTTATAGTATAATGAATTTGATTTACTTGTGAATTAATAGTACTTTAACAGTGTTTAATTTCATAAGGAAATGCAGCTGTGTAAAATTTTAATCAAATATATTGGATGTTTTCTCCATTTCTAATTTATTCACGATGAACATCATTCATTCTTTTTAATAATGGTCAATGTAGGAAAACAAAACAACCCGACTGAAATACTTGACAGGCAACAGTATTAAACAATCAGGGCAGTATCTGATTTGTTATGATATCTCTGTGTCAAGAAAACTTTGAATGAATTCTTAAAGTAATAGCTAGTAATATTTAAAATGGTTTAAGATATGCACAATTATTTGTCTCTTGTTCATAATCAAACAGGTTCAAAAGATTGAATGAAAACATTTCAAACACTTTTAGAATTTGATAATCATTTGAGTTACATAATTTGTACTGTAATTAAAATATCATAGTCATTGATTGGGAAACACTCTCTGACCTGTTTAGGAAGAAACATTCCCAATATTTTGTTGTTCATTAAAACGATGTTTATACTTTGTGATTTTAAAGGTTATCTAGTTGCGTTCTAGTACAGTTACTATCCATTAGTACCAAGTGACATATGCAACTTACCCCAGTTATTTTATATATCATAGTTTCCATTTCAAAGAACATTTAAATCTGATAAAACAGTGATCATTTTGAGAACATTTCGATAATGCAAATCGGTACATTTGATTTCTTGTCAGCTGGTTATTGTAAACTAGGATTAAATTAATGGGCAATAGTTTGATTACTTATCCTAACATGTTGCACTGTAATCTGTGTACTGTTTCTAAAGACAGCCTAGTTAATTATTAACACGTTCGCGAAAATACAACTGATAATATATGAAGTTTAGATAGACAGCACTATATAGTGACATTAATCCAATAGTTATGGATTATAAGGCACATAAACCTAGGATTATTCTACTATAAAATAGCCGAAATTTTTGAGAATCTATTAGGAAAGTTGATACAATATAACTGAGAAAAAATATGAATCCAAAGCAAAATAAAACTGGGACTGAGGTGAGATTCTTAATTCAAGAGATAGTTCCATAGTAAAGTGAAACTCATTGACAGATTTTAGAGCCTAGTCATAACTTGGTCTTGAGAGGATATAATTACGTTATTTATTAAAAAGAAACATTCTACAAATGTTGTAGGAGTTTTTCAATGCTGATTCGATTGACTTAAAGATTTCTGTTTGTATTAACATCAAATTGAGAAATAATATAATCGTAAAAATGAGTTGATGGAGCTGATATTCTTTCCATATAATTATAGATGATATGATGTTTCCAAAAAGTTGATAGCTAAACAACTCTCTCTTAATGTACATCATAATATGACTAGTTTATTGAAAACAAAAACAGCTTGACTGTATTATATTCAAGACAGAGAAAACCCACGCTACCTTGCAAATATTGTTTAAAATGAGCACATTTTTGAAAACGGTAAATACGTTACGACTACTTTTTTGAACAATTTTGATCGTTTTTTCTGACAACTTCACTTGAGAATCTGTAAAATCATCTCAGATGTTTGAAGTAAAGGATTTTGAAAATAAAATATATAAGCTCACAGTAATGTGTCCAAGATACATACGTGACAGTCAAGAGTAAATGTTCTCGGTTACATTGAATTTTTACTGCTGCTATTCAGGATCGTTGAATGCCAGCATCACTTGAAATTTTAGAGTTTTTTCATGTTTTACAACAAAATTTACGAATGATAAGTTATGTATTGTCATCATGCATTCTCAAACATTATCTCATGTATCAAAAACCTCTATGGTGTGTGCTATTGTTTTCGAAAGTTCATTTTTACTTCCATTTAGCCTACGAGAAAGCAGCGCAGCTCGTCCAAGGGTTTTACTTTGTTAGTCTTATCTCTCTCTCTCTCTCTCGTTGGTCTGATTTCCAGTATAGAATTTGTGTAAACAATTATTTCGGCTATTACAATCGATCTTCGTTATCTGGTCACTGTAACAGCTACAATAATCATGTAAAATGTGATCAAGTCGGTTAATGCATACTTTTATGATTCTTTACTCTGATTATCACTCTTTGGCTGACACAATATGAGATCAGTTCATTGATTAACATTTGGAAGGTAACAAAAAAATCAAAAACTGAAACAAAACACACACAGATATGAAGCCGGAAACTAGATTTTAGCGCTTATAATCAATTATCAATGATTCCTACAGAAATTTGAATTTTCACTACCAGCAAAATAGGTGTATACTGTATCGATGTGTATCGGCAGAAACATACTCAAAAAATACTCAGCTGATCATCTACTCATTCAACTTTTTAGAATATAAGGAAAAAAACAAATCAAATTTCTATTTTAAAACAATATTTATATATCTGTATATAATTGTTACAATAAATTAGAGTATAAATTTAATTTTAAAATTCAGTACAACATAATTCTATTGTGAATTGTTTACAAAACACTCTGGTTTCATGTCCTCAATGTAATAATTCAGTTTTAAAATTTTTCCATTTATTAGAGTTCAGAATAAATAAATAAATAAATCTTTACTCATTTACATGTATATATATATATATATATATATATATATATATATGTGGGTGAATTTACTTTGCATTAGTGTATTCTTCTTTTCTAGGTTCGTTCTAAAAACAGCACTACATTATTCAGTGTACAGGTGTGTGTGTGTGCGTGTGTATGTGTGTGGGTATGTAAGAGGGAGAGAGAGCGAGAGAGAGAGCTAAACCGAGAAACAGATGATATTCTACTTGAAAACCAGCAGATATACTTTGAATAAATTGTGCATTAATACGCCTAGTAAGTAGTAGGAGGAGTAGTAGTAGTTGTTGTTGTCGTTGTTGTGGTAGTCGGCAGATCATTGATTGCATTACTTTTCAAAATCACAATCAATCAATAACAATGATTGTAGATTGCTTTTGTGTTGTTGACCTAAAGATTTCAGGTAATCCATACATAATCATAGATCTAGTAATAATAATAATAAAGTCAATAAATCGATATGAGTGGCAGTGTAAAAGAAATTGGTAATTTTTATTCACATAATTGCGTTCTTTCTTATTTTTTTTTTAATGTGAATTTATGTTTAAGTGCAAACATGCATGTACATGTTTGTGAGTCGGATTGTTTTATTATTCTCAAAAATCATTAAATATGACCATTGGTTTGTTATCATTGCTACCCTTGTTTTTAAGTTTATGCTAACATAATTTTTGTTAAACAATTTCTTAAACAGTCTATTAATGGTAACAGGTGAGTAATGTAGAGAGAGAGCAATATTAAGAAAGTTAAGCAATTAAGTAGACAGCATGACATTGTAAGTAA